ATTCCTGTGATAATCATAGCATGCTATCATATTATGATTATCACAGGAATCCAGAATTAAGGTTGCATAGTGGAGTGCGTTTGGGGTCGGGAGGGGGGCAAGGTTGGGGGCAGGGCAGGGCGGGGGTGGGATCGTATACCAACGAAGAAGTTTATCTTTTGCTTTTCAAAGAGAGGAGCAAACTGGGGGGGAGGGGGTAAAGAAAAAAGTGCAACAATGAACCAATGAAAGTCCAAAATCTCTGCAAATGTTCATTAAAATTAATAAAATTTAAAAAAATTTTAAAAAATCCATACTGTAGGCTATAGTCTTTCAGTGTTATCAAGAAAACTTTCAAATTGTCTTAGTTTGCTGCAATCAAGATTGTGCCATCTTTTATTGAAAGTTGTTGGTGAAATTTCTTCTAATCTTGAAGAGTCATATTTTTCTTCATATTTTACTGATTCTCAGACTATTTGTTCAGTTTATAAATTGAATAGTTATAAAGAATTACCACCTAGATGTGCTCCATTATTGATTTTAAATCATACATCATGCCATTTTCTGTGTGAACTGTTTTTTTTAACAAGGTACAGGTTCTGCCAGAAAACAAACAAGTGTTCTGAAATTCTCATTCTTCTCAATGTTATCCATAATATAGTATAATACAGCACCAAATGTTTTTGCACAGTTAATAAAACACAAATAAGCATCTATCTGTTTTAGCCAGAATTCATCTAACATCAGGAAAGATCCCTCTCAGTCTATAGCCTATTCTGAATCTAGCTTGAATTTCTGGCAGCTCCTTGCCAATATACTACTTTGTTTTTCACTACATACCTCCAGTGCCACTTGGATTTCTTCCTTCAGTAGCTTTGTTCTTCGTCATGGATAATCTCTTGAAATGGTTGTGAAGAATTTTTTTTGTGTGTGCAATGACTTAGTATTTGAATCTTCCATTTTCCAACTTGAAGAGCTCATCTTGTGGCATCCTATGGGACATCATTTCCTTTTTATTTATAGGGTTTTCAGCAGCCCATTATTTATAAGTGAGTAGTAGGACTTGCTTCCTAGTCTTAGTCTGGAAGCTTTACTGAAGCATGTCCACCAAGGATGATCCTGATGATATTTTATACATCAGTTGCATATCTTCTAACATCACAGCTGCAAACAAACAAGCCTCCATATAGGACAACCTGACAGATTAGAGAAAGAGAAAACTTTATGGAACAGATCTATTCTGTCTCATGGGGTCAATATAAGTAAAAGTGGACTCAATGGCACCTAATGCCAATAACATTCTGCTTTCATTTCCAGTTGAACAATATTTAAACATCCATCCCTATAATTAAGTATATTTTATTACAGAAAATTCTAGCATATCAAATTGTAAGTTTTATGGGACCAAAATTCTCTGTTGTCAGGAGGTTGATCACTATTTCTTAGTTTTATGAGGACACATTAAGTAATATGTTTAGTGAATTCTTGAGAATTGCATTTCTAAGGGATTCATATACATGCCATTTCTCATTCTTTCCTTCTTTCCAGATGAATCAAGTAAACAATCCCCTCATTGCTATTTCCACACTTATAATTTATAGGCTTATATTTAACTATCTTGTAAACAGCAACAATAGCCCAGATAGAGTTCAGTTTCCAAATGTCCAAATGTCTTTTCTTGAACATTTGTTCTTTAAAAAAAGAAAACAAAAACCACATCAATGATCATCAAGTTGACATCAACATAGAGCACTCCATGTGTTTCAAAGTATAAATGTGTTCCATGGAAATTTCTTGACAATAATCTTCGTGGAATCATACTGCCAGGTGTATTTTCTTTGGTATAGATGGAAGGGTTCCAGCTTCCAACTTTTAGTTTAGCAGATAAGCTCAAATCATATATGCCACCCAGTGACCTGAAGTAACAACAGTAGTTATAAAGTTGGTTTGAAAATAATTCCCATAAAATAGTCTCAAAGAAGAATTTTCAAGAGCAACAATAATTGACTAAAGGTAATGCAATAATCTCTGATATGTTGAAAGAATTTAGCTGCCATTCTAATAACTAAAATTCATTCTAATAGACTAAAATCCTATTTTCAGTAAACAGATCATTAGAAAATTGAAGGTGAAATCTTTAGAGGGGAAAAAACCTACAAAAACATAAACTTTCTTAGAACAATCTTAACCAAGGAAATCATTGCCATTAACTCAATTTTTATTTATCCAATACTATTGTTGTTGTTGTTGTTCTTATGTGCCATTGAGCCACTTAAGACTCATAGCGACTCATACGTATAAGAGCCCTAAACGCCGTTCTATCTGGTGCCAACCAAACCCTCTCAAACACACTTAATTCCCACCACTCCAGTCACAGAACTGATCCATCTCATCAAAGGTTTTCCTGTCCTGCGCCATCCTTCCACATGATGTCCCTCTCCAAAGACCAGTCCCTCCTTGCAACATGCCCAAAGTATGTCAGACGAAGCTTCAGAATCCTTGACTCCAAGGAGCATTCCGGCTTCACCCTCTCCAGGACAAACCTGTTTCTTCACCTAGCAGTCCATTGTATATTCAACACTCTTCTCCAGCCCCACAGCTCAAAGGCATCAATTCTCTTTCTATCATCCCTATTCACCGTTGATGCAGGTAATTGTGAAGACTATCCTTGATCAGGCGCACCTTAGTCTCCAGCCTGATGTCGTTGCTTTTCAGTACTCTTAAGAGGTCCCTCACAGATGACTTTCCCAATGCAATTCTTCTCCTGATTTCCTGGCTACTGTTATAAAGAATGTTGACTGTGGAACCAAATAAATCAAGACTGTTAACTATCTCAATCTCTTCACCATCCATACTGATACTGCCAATTGGCCCAGTGGTGAGAATCTTTGTTTTTTTGATGTTGAGCTTTAATCCATATTGAAGGCTGCATTCCTTGACCTTCTGCAGCAAGCGCTTCAGGTACTCCTCAGTTTCATCAAGCAGGGTTTTGTCATCTGCATAACGCAGGTCGTTGATGATTCTTCCACCAATCCTGATGCCACATTCCTCCTTGTACAGCCCAGTGACTCAGATGATCTGTTCTGCATACAGATTGAAAAGGTATGGAGACAGAATACATCACTGATGGACCCCTTTTTATTTTGAACCAGGTAGTCTCTCTTTGCTCTGTTCTGATGACTGCCTCTTTGCCCAAGTATAGGTTTCACATTACCACAATCAAATGTTCTGGGATTCCTATTCTTCTCAGAGTCAGCCATAACTTGTTGCAATCCACACAGTCAAAAGCCTTTGCGTAGTCAATGAAGCACAGATAGACATTCTTCTGGTATTCTCTGCTTTCTGCCAAAATCCATCTAACATTTGCTGTAATATTCCTAGTACCACGACCTCTTCTAAATCCAGCCTATACATCTGGCAGTCCTCTGTTGACATACTGTTCCAAATGTTTTTGGATAATTTTCAGCAGAATCTTGTTGCATGTGTTATTAATGATATTGTTCAATAATTTCCACACTCTGTTGGGTCACCTTTCTTTGGAATGGAAACAAATATCGATCTTTTCCAGTCAGTCGTCCAGCTGGTTGTCCTCCAGATTTCTTGGCACAAGTTAGTGAGCACATCCAGGGTAGTGTCTGTTTGTTGAAATATGTCAATTTGTATGCCGTCAATTCCTGGAGCCTTGGTTTTGCCAATTCCTTCAGAGCAATTTGAACTTCCTCCTTCATCACCATAGGCTCTTGCTCATATGTCATTTCATGAAATTCTTCTGTGTCAGCCAATTCCTTCTGATACAGTGACTCTATGTATTCCTTACATCTTCTCTTGATACTTCCTGGATCATTTAACGTTCTACCCAAAGTATCCATAAGTCTTGCCACCGGTGGCTTGAATTTGTTTTTCAAATAAAAACAACAATGCAAAAGAAAAAAAGAAAGTGTTGGTTGCAACAGCACAGAACAATAAAAACAAATATGGAACGCTTCAGATAGCATCTTCTCCTTCTCGCTCTTTACCTTTCCCAGCATAATGTTCTTGTCTGAGGACTGACCACTCCTGACAACATGCTCAAAGTGTATGAGACAAAGTTTCACTATCATTGCTGCTAAGGACATCTTAGTTGAACTTCCCCAAAGTAGACACTTGTTTGTTCATTTGGCAGTCTATGGGATATTGGGTACTCTTCTCCAATAAGATAATTCAAAAGCATCAATTCTTCTTCCTTATTCATTGCCCAACTTTCAGATGCAAAGGAAGCAATAGAAAAAAGAGCTCTGGTAGGTGAGGAGTTGCAATTTCAAAGGCAAGGGGTTCAAGTCTACTAGCCTACTTTATGGGAGAGAGCTGGACAGTCTCTTTCTGTGTGATTATAGCCTCTGAATACCTGCTGGAGGGACTTCTATCAGTTGGTTCTTACTTAATGGTAATGAGTTAGTTTAGTTACATTATTCAGAGAAGTTATGTGTGCACATATCTTTACCATCCTGCAAGCAAATTTGAGGTGGTTATTATCATCATCATCTGATCACAGATAAGATTCAAGGTCAGAGAGATTTGCAGTATCCTGCCTTTTGCTTATATCAAAGAATCTCCATTCTTTATGCCAACTTTCAAAAATATATACATAATGTCCTGGTACATTTTATGAATTTGTAACTAAATGTCTGTGAGGGTGTGAGGGTACTACATAGTAACAGTGATGAGTCAGTTTGGCAAATATCCAAACATAAACAGGAACATCTCAGCCTCAGTCTAAATATTTCCACTACATCCTCTGTGAAAGGTAACAGCTGCTAGTGTTTAATAATTAGAGACCAACTGGATAGCGCCTAACAGTAATCCCATAAGTAAATACCACTCAAAGATGAGGAACATTCTCATGATCTTTACACTGCAATTTCAAGGACATTTCCCAATATCATTAGGAAACATTCTGAAATCACACAATGAAAATTTGAGGTTACGATTATTTGTTTCAATTTCAAGGGAGAAGTAGGAGAGAATAAAATTGTGGAGACCACTTCTACATGCTGCCTCAGACTTCTCAGCTCCCTGTGCTGGCCAACATGTCTTTGGTCCTGCTTTCTGTTCTCTGGCTGTTTGTTCATACTCAAGGTAAGTGCTAATATGTTGATATTTTGTGTCAAAACTAAATATTTTAATGAATTTTATAAACTATCTTTAATGTCATGTTTATAGCACATACCTGCAAACTGAAAGAGGGAGGAAAAGTAACAAGGTTTCATGATCCAAGGATATTGTTATTTGTATTTCGGTGTATTTGCTACATCTCTCTCTTAGAAGATCAAACTGAAAATAGAAATACAACTGAATGAGTTAAAATATTTCAAAAAATTGTGTTAGAAATAAACATGATATAAAACATAAATTATGAAATTTCTCTTTTTTTTCTTTTTTATCTTATTATTTTGTGTGTGTGTACCACCAAATCAGATCTGACCGGTACAGGAGGAGATTGCCCCTCCTTCTCCAGCAGAGCTTCTGGTGGATTCAAACTGCGTACCTCTGGGATTGCAGTTCAGCTTCTTGCCACTAGGCCACCAGAGCTCCCCTAAAATTCCTCATATTTTAAAAAATTATTGCATATTTGAAGAAATTAAAAAATTTGTTTGCACAGTACTTTCTCAAATGATTGAACTACAACTGACCTTACTATTTATTTATTCATTCCATTTTTTTCCACTAGCAAATACCTTTCCAATATTGAAACTGAAAATATCTGTATTGTAGGGTATGTCCTGAGGTAAGATTCTTATAAATACAGCATTTGAGTGGGATGAAAATGAGGGGAAAATAATCTTTTTCTTCCTTTAAATTTAAAGCTAATATTAATCCATTTGACAATGACAATATCGTCTACTGGTAAATAGCTGTCCTGCAATTCCAGAGTCATCTGATTTTAATCCACTAGCTATTCCACAGGAGAAGGGTGGGCAATCTCCTCTTGTGGAATTTGCTGCCCCTGAAAACCCACTGGAGAATCTGCTAAAATTCTATTCTGACTTTATGGAGTAAAACAAACATAAACACAACAATAACCAAGGGAGTTCTAGTGTCCTGCTGTTGCTGTTATGTTCCATAAAGTCAGAACCAACTAATAACTGAACTTTCAGCAGGTTTTCAGAGGCTGTAAATCATAAGGGTGGAAACTGGCTAACTTTCTTCTGTAGTGTAATTGGTAGATTCAAACTTTCTGTCCTGGATAGGCAGTACAACTCCTTACCAGGCCTTGTGGCATAGTGAGTAAGAATTTAAAAATTCAAAAGCAAGTGGCTCAAATCCATCAATGTTTCTTGGAAGTCAGATAGTAATCTCTTCTCTTGTAACTTACAACCTCTGAAACCCACAGGAGGGTCAGCTATCAGTTGATTTTAAAAGGAATGTATGATTAAGCACTATTTGTATGACAACAGTCCCGAGTAAGAGGTACATAGCAAAGTAGACTATGGAGGGGTAAGGGATGCTGAGGGAGAAAATTATGCAACAATGAATGAATATTTTTTAAAATATCAGACTGCAGAGTAAAGGAGGAAGGAAAGTGTGCAACAATGAATAAATGGAAATCTAACTTTTCTGTAAACTTCTGTTAAAATCACATTGTTGTTGTTGATTGTCACCGAGTTGAGCACAACTCATAGCAATCCTGTGAACAAAATGCCTGAAGCCTTTTTATACCTATTGTCATTTATCAAAGTTTATAGAGCTTCCAGAGGCATTTTGTTTAGGAAGTGAATGCCACTCCTGCTTCCAAAAAATCACAATAAAAATATTTTTAAAACAAAACTGGAGTATAAAGTGAATATGGG